AACGTGCAAATAGTCTGTATAAATATAAAGCAGCATTTGCCGCAAAATGTTTCAGCAACAATTACCCAGCAACATGTTGCTCAGTAAACAGCAGCTGCAATGCGGCAAAATTTGCGAAAATTGTTAGTGTTGTCCTTCTTCCGGGTACGCTCACAACTTCTGCAACAGTTGTTGCAGTTATTTTACATTTTTGTTTTGTTGTTGTGGTCAGCGGCAAACATGCGTACAAAAGACCACAGAATTCTGACGATTTCCGCAGACTGTAGCCGGGTCAGCTGCTGTTGGCAGAGTTGCAAATCATCTGCACAATGTCCTTGCCGGTATTTTTTTTTTCAAAGGTTTTGTTGCGCTTGTCGGCTTTCAAAGCTGTGTGAGTATTGCCAAAAGGCCTACAAAAGTAATTGGAGTCATATACACACACACACACACACACTTACATCTTTGCTGCAGATTTTTTACTTTGTTGCTATTCTACGAAGTCAACGAGGCGAAGGACTTTTTATGCCTACACTTACATATATACACGTGCACACATGCCGATCGATAATTTCAACGAAAACTTTAAATCGGTTGTGGGGCCGGAGTCAAAAGTACATAACGGTATTAACTATAGTGAGACGAAATATGTATATAGTAACTCAGGGACGGTTAAGTATGCATGCGGAGAGAGTAACTCTTGAATATCTATAAATATCTATCTCTGTAAGTATGAAATTTAGAAATATGAATGTATGTATGTATAATAATAAAAGCGGCATGCACTTACCTTCAAGGTCAACGCTGTGTATGTACGATTCATACAATTGTGGAGGCATGTAAGCTTACACACGTACATACGAGTATGTATAAATTTGTTTTCGTATGTTCGTGTTTCACTCAAATGCCATACAGTCAGCTGCAAATGTTGTCTGCCATTGCAGCTGTGCCAATAGCAATTGTTCAATTTTGTGTATTTTTTTATTTTTATTTTTTTTTTTTTGAAAATTCCAAATTTTTATTATATTTTCATTATACTTTTAATAACGAAAATGCACTCAAAAATATTGTACTAGATACACAGGTATGGAATACAAAAACATACTCGTACATTGGTATAGTCTTTCATTTTGCATGAATTTTAATTTATTTCTCCGCATCAATCAATTAAAAAAAAAAAGTAGGACATTTAAAAAAATTTATTTTTCATGTTAATTTGCCTATGACATCAACGAAAATTATATACATATTTTCCATTTTAAAATGGAAAAAATATTACATTTTATTACTATCGAACGTTAAGTGCATATTTTCATGTGTTTTGGATAATTTAAAAATGTTATATTTTTTTTTTTAATTATTTGAAATTTTGTTTTTTTCCGCATTTGAACACAGTTAGGCAACGGCTTGCATGGACTAAGTATATATTTATTTTTTAATATTTATTGCAATTTATTTACGTAATTTTCCTTATCTAAGTATATGGACACTAATTTAAGTGTTTTTTAACTGTTAACGGTAAATATTAACCGTGATTTATAATGTGCGCTATACTTATAAAAATATGACTAACATGTATACACAGATACATACATACATATGCCAGATTTTTCTATATGTATGTACGAGCATACTTTTTAAATTTATAAAAATCGTAGTTATAATTTTTTAATTTAAAATGCATTTTGATTGGAAAAGCCCGAGCTACCAAGCGGAGGGCTATGGATCTCAATTGTGACCAGGCCAACAACTAAAATTAGTCAGCGCCAGTATCAGCAGGCTGGATTTAAAGCAGGTAATACTAAAATGGTCTTAATTAGCAGTAGGTACAAAACGCCTCTTTTTAAGCCACCTCTACTAAAAGGCATGGATATCACTTTCTCTAGCGAAGGCAAGCATCTATGAATAATTTTAATTAACAAACACTACTGAAGCCGTAAAACAACAATAAGATCGAGGAAGGTTGAAATTGCACTTTACGCTTGCAAAACGGCGAAAGGAAACCGATGGGATCTACAAACAAAATATTATGTATTGGATATATACAGCGGTAGTTAGACCCATTCTATTATACGGTGTCACCATACTGTGAGGAGCAAATTACTTTCAGGAGCATACTAGAGAGAGTTCAACGGTCGGTAGATATACTTCCAATAGCAGCACTGCCATCGATCGAATCCCTCAATAGCATTTTTAACTCTCCTCAACTTTGTTTTGCTGTGCCTTATGAACTGGGTTACATCAACTCCAGTAAGTGCTTCGACAATCACTTTTTCACAAGAACCCCAAGCAAGAGCTAATGTGGAAACGCAAACACTCTCGATCAGACCGTCATAACTATCTTTGCAGACGGCTCAAAACTCTGATGCTCTCAATAAATATGAGACTACCAAACCACTGCAACGTCTTCTTCGCAGAATTCCTTGCAATATTAAAAGCCGACGAGTGGCTCCTCAAGTATACGGTAGCAGGGCAATCAATTACGATATATGCCGACAGTCAAACGGTCATCATATCTCTAAAGTGTAAACAATACCATATAAAAGTGGCTATAATATGGTGTAGGAGCAATCTTAATAAACTCTCGATTAAATGCAACATTGCAGTGATAAGGGTACCCGAACACAGAGGCGTCCCATGCAAAATTGCACTGCACGGCAGACGAACTTAGAAGAGAAGGAATTCTTCTACCCGCAATAAACCTTGCATACGATTCAGGTGTACCTTTGTCCATGACAGAATATATTCTAAACCTAGTTTTGGTGGAAAAAGCACGTACTAGATGGTTGAATGACATCACGTGCAATGTGAATAGACAGCTATGACCAAAGTTGAACACAAAAAGACCAAGACACCTCATCCTTCTAGACAGGTTTCCCATTAGTACAATTATAGGTATAAAAACACGTCGCTGTTTAATGGGGATGCAAAGAAAAACAATGGGCTGCTGAGGCAACAATGAAGAAGAGTCTATTGACCACTATCTCTGCTACTCTTCAGCCTTGACATCTACACGACACACGTTTCTTGGGAAACACTTCTCCGACTATATCACTAAACTAGCTTCCGATAAAATTGGTGATCTCTACGATTTTATAAGACAAACGAAACGGTTCGAACTTTTGAGAATGTGAAGATAGGCGCCTCACAGCGATATCACAATGGACCTTTTCGCCTAGGTGCATCAACTCAATTCAATACCCACAATTACAGACAATCGCTGTGGTCCTCAGTTTCAACCCTGGGTACCCTGGACGCCTCATCGCTTCAACAACCAATGAAAACGTAGAGAAAATTAAAAACATTGTTATAAACGATTGCCGGAGAATTTCAATATATTTTACTCTCCATGTTCATCGATGTTAATGGCAAAGTGCACCATGAGTTCCTGCCACTAGCTTAAGCGGTCTATAAGAAGTCATGTCACTGTGGAAAACATTTCATAAACATTTCATGGCCTTTGCAACATGATAATGCACCAAGTCGCTTCATATTTGCCACAATGGACTATAAATGACTTTTTCGTCTTTCAGCGGTGAATGGCATTAAAAGTGCATCGCTGAAAGAACTATGGCTACCTCAGTGAACGAATTTCAGAAGTAATTCGGAAATCGGAAGAAGCGTTGGGAAAATAGCGTAATTTTTAGCGCGGACTATTTTTAAGGCGTCAAAAACGATGAATAAGTAAAAGTTTTCTTTATAAAAAATTCTCGTATTTTCTTATCGTAAGGCTTACTGAGAAATCTGTAAGCTATCGGGTTCCAAATATTTCTGGCTGTTGTCCATTTATATGTGCTTTTAATATCTACGTTGCCTCTGATCCTTCGGGATTATCACAAGGCAACAATGTTTTTCCAACGATTTGAGGGATCTTCAGTTTATACCAAGCCGCCATCGAACTGATGGGTTTTTTATGAGGAGCCTTTATTTCGTGTCAGAAATATATTCGGACGTACCCTGCCGACGGGCGCTCGCAGTTAGAAAATTTAATTTAATTGCAGGGATAATTAAAAGAGCACAAATTGAATGCAAAAACTTTTGGAATTAATTAATACTCTTTTCGACTAAAAGTATATTTAAAATTCATTAATTATCTGCAAAAAGGGCCATTTTGCTTTATTTACACACATGATATTTATTTTCGAATTTTTTTGTTTTTTTATTTTTTTTATTTTTGGATTATTATTATCATTTTTCAAATTTGTTTGCGTTAAATAAACATTTTCAATATGTAATGTCGAATTTTGCTTATTAAATCAGCTTAAAATTAAACTGTTAATATACTGTGCCTATGTACGCATTCAAGTTTTTCCAACAGCGTTTGGCCGCTTTATAAAACACCAAACAGTAAACTCTAACCAGAATTCAAGTACTGCACTTGTTAGGCCCACTTTAGCCGCATTCACGTGCACCCACGCCAGTCTAATGGGCGGTTGAAAATAAAAAAATAAAATAGCACAAAACACAAATACCAATAAGCGAATAGGTAGGGTAAGCTGAGAGCACACAGTTTAAGCGCAATAAGCGCTCTGTTTTCGATTAATACATATTTATCTATTTAAATAATTAAATCGAATATAGTATGTTTGTTTATGCATATTCATATGTATATACACATATGTGTGAGTATGTAGTTGCTCCACAAATATATTAACAATTCCGCGCTTCCGTTTGTTTTGCTTTGCTTTTGAGGCGCACCTAACACCCAAATTTATTGTCATTTTTGCCGCAAATAATTAACCAACAACACAACAACAATCGACCAACCAACAAATAAAAATAAGCGTCCAACTATGATTGCCGCTGAAAATTTCGCTTTCTAGGCATTTTAATTTTTATGCATAAGCGACCTTTCTTCATTCTTTCCTTCCGCTTTTTTTTTTCAATTCACAACCAACTAAACACAGCCAAGAAGCCAAAAAAAAAATGTGTTGATTTCCTCACACCTTTTAATTTGCAGTTATAATTAGTAAAGAATTTAATAAATTTTCAGTTTAAGCACAAATACACACACACACACACACCTGACGATAAGAAAACTTAGAATTTTTATTACGAAATGTTGCTATCCGCTTTTACCGCGCGTCATCGGCTTTATTATTGTTATTATAATGCTCTTCTACAGCACCACTACGGTAAAGGAAAAACAATCGCCGCGAATTTCGATTAACTCAACCGACACACTGTAGATACTTTTGCAGACTGAAATTCAAAATTCAAATCGGAATTGTGCTCAACGCAGTCGCCGGCACACGTCGAGCAAGCTGCTTAACCGAAGCAAGCAACGCTCGTAATGCGCTGCAGCAATAACCACCACCCGAAGCGCTGCGTGGCGCTCAGCGTCGCGTCGCTGTTAAAAAGTTGCCTATCCACAAAGGCACTGTTAATTTTTTGGGGCTTGGGCTGGCGATAAACAAACAGCTGTTCTAGCCGCTCGCTTTGGTAGTGGTGTAATGACGTATGCTCGCACTGTTTATAGTAGGACGTTAAGGTTATTTGAGCAACGGCAGCTGAGCATGTTGTCGAATGACCGACTGATTGCTCTGCTACTGGGTAGGTTGCTGGTATTGCGGGCTTCCTCATTTAATGACATCATCAGTTGTGTATATGAATATGTCGATTAACAGGCAGCAGAGAGATAACATTTGTACATACATCTGCTAATGATGGCGCTATGTTATCTATTGATAAGGTAACATTTAATGTTAAGTTACAGAAGAGAAAAATGTGTAAGATTTTCTTGTTATTTCAGTGGTGTCTCTGCAACTGTTGTTTAAAAGGGTTCAATGGGGTGGTGAGTCGACAAAGGCTCACGCCAGTAAAAATTCTTGTAGGGGGTTATTGCAATGACCAGAGCGCAAAAAAAAGTTCAGTCTGAAATAGAAATTTTAATCTTAAAAGAAAAGTTTTGAAGGAATTAAGGGTTATTATACTAAAAGCAAGCCATTGGAGGCAAGTAATAGATACTTGGAAGACTTGCTCTGTTTGACAATGGATGGCTTGCATCCACGCTTGCAGCTGCGTCCTAGATTTCTTCCTATTTAAATTATTGCAAAGAAGCTCTGGGCGCACATCGTTTCAACGAAATGATTTTAGTTCGCGGCAACTTAATTTTCGGTAGTTAGCATTTTTTGTGAATATTTCTGCTCATCCATTCGATTGACAAACCTGCCGTCTTTAATTCCACAGAATATAATTCGGCATTAGCTCAAAGAGCAGCTAAGATTTCGTCGAATTTTCGCTCTGTACTGTACCTGTTTCATACTTTGAGAAGAGTGTAGAAATTGCGTTCGCCCCTCGCAGGGTGTGTCAACCGATTAGTGCTGGCTGTGTCGTTGTTATGCACGACCCTAAGACCCTACTATTAGGGATATATTCCTTACAAAGAAATCATTTGCGACGATAATGAAAGATATATCATTGGTTTACGGCGACTCTTTTTTGGGAAAGCCCATGATCTGCAAAAGCACAATTTAAACAAGAAAGAGAGTCCCTAGAATCCCGTTCATGAGCATCGAGGTCACCATCGCAGAATTCATACGAAAAAATTTTTCTCGTCTAAATAAATGGTTGGAGTATTACATAGAACCATTTTAAAATACTGCATGATCATTTGCTTGCATTTTTGGACATCTGTAATGAAGAGAAGAATAATGTATTGAGTCGAATTTCTAATTGAGATGAAGCTTGGGTTCAAAAAAGACACCTACCTAGCAGTGGCACAAAAAAGGAACAGCAACTGCCAAGAAGTTTAAGATGTTACAGTCAGCTAGGAAACTCGTGTTAACTGTCCTTAGAGACTCGAAACAGTTCGCTTTCCGCGTCATCCTTCCAACGAAGGAGAGGTCTTACTCTTACTCTGATACAAGCAGCACGTAGTGCATCGAATACTTTCAAAGGTAGTGTGCTTTCATCCTTCCGTATAGCTCATAGTTCCAACGTTGCCAACACGCAAAGGACCTTAAATCGTTAGCAAATCATTTCTCTCAAAGACCCCGGAGGTCGACTCATCAGATGTCGACATCGACGGGAAGTATAAGTAGCTTGTAGGGTTTAGTTTTGGTTCGTCAAGAGTGGACTTTACTTTTCAATTGCCCACTCAGTTCAGAGTAGCACCGTTGGCAAGAGTGATTCTGCGTTGGATTTCAAGGTTGATATTACTTTTCATTATTACAAGAGATATTGATTCCTTTCTGACGCCTGTTTTCCAAGATTTGGCGCATGGGGAATATCTAGTCAGTGATGTACTTACCAGGTCTAAAGCCACATTGATAAGGTCAAAAGGTTTTTTGGCTGCAGGTTATAGTCTATTTTGCAATTCATTCGAAAGGCTATACACATAGAAATTTGCCTTGGGCTATAGGTTATAATTTGGGTTTCAATGGTCGGGCTTGTTATCAAACAAGTACGTTTTGTAAAGAAGCTGCGATTTGTTTGTATCCTATCAGGTCTTCGCTCTCATTGAAATAGCTGAGCCAGTAAGCCACCGACTTTAGCCGCTCTGTTGTTGTTGGAAAACATACATATGTTTTTAACTAAAACACATAAATATATATGTATGTATCTACATCTGTCTAAGCATTTATCAAATAATTTGTCTTATCAAAAACTTTCCTATACAAAAATAATAAACTAACACCATTGAAGCAACATAATTTGTAGTCGTGATGGCACCAAAACAGAACTAAATTCTCCGCAAAAGAATTTATAAAACACATAAAGCGTAGAATGACAACAAAAGCCATAATATAGTGAATACGAAAATATTTCAACGTCTCCGCGTAAGAAGGAATTACTTACTTTATTCCTTTTGTGAACTCCCCAAGAGTTTCAGTGGGAGTTTTTACAGGCAAATTGAAGGATTTATAAATGGAGCAAACAAATAAAAAGTTGACAGGATACATGAAATGGCAGTTTATATGACAATAACAATGGAATTGTAAATATGTATGTATGTATATGTATGTGTGTATGTATGTAAGTATATGCATAAGTCTCACATACAAATATATATAATATTTACATGGCGTTGGTTATCATGGCGACAATGTCAACGTCGACGCCATAGCTCGCCGCCAGCTACCACCCAAATCGGCTAGAGAATAAGCGAGGAAGCGAACGAATGAATGAATGAATTTCATGTTTTGACTGAAAAAGCGACATCAAAAATAGGTCAGCCAAATTTATTGTGCACGTAGGTTCGCCGTTTAGCTGATAAAAGTCAATTAGTTGAAAGAAATTTCGTTTCTTCACATTTCCATGCTACAGTTATTACTATTATTATTATTATTTTTTTTTTGTTGGTAATTCGTTTGGTGTCATCTTTTTCATATCGGTTGCATGTCTAACTTCGAATTCGCCATAATTTCGCATTAATCACTTGACGTTGGTTTCACTTTTTCTTTTTTAGGAAATTTGGTAAATTTTTCATGCTTTTTGTATGTTCGTATTAATTAACTGGATTTTTTTTTTGTTAGAAATTCTTAAACATTTTTTATTTATGTAGGTCATTTCTGGGTCAAGCCATAAATTTAGCACCCATTTGGTGGGTGGGTGCTTGCTTTCCTGCATTTCATTACCTTTCACTTTTCATTTGCATATTGCGAGCCACCACCCCCCCACCATTTTTGTGTCACATCAATTGTTTTGATGTCGTGTTGCCGCAGGGGAGGCATATTGGGTAGTTCAACTAATCCTTTACTCCTTCTCAGCGCAACTATTTCGCTTGGAATAATGAATAAATTGCCGTGCACTATTTATATGTATGAATATGTTGACATATGGACGACTGTGCATTCACTACCTATAGCAGTAGCCCGACAGCGAGTAGGTAGACTAGTATTCTAGTTGAATTCTAGAATTTTCAAGATGAAATCATGCCAGTTGAATAATTCACAAGTAAGGGAAATAATAATAATTTCCACCAGCAAATTTTGTTGCTATATCTAGCAAGCCACGGCTGAGTTCCATTCTCTCTTACGTTCTGTTTTAGTATGCATGAGAATCACGGTTCGAGTGTTGTTACAGTCAAAATCATTTTTATTTTTATTTATTCCTTTTTTTTTGTGAAGAACATACCTAAAAAAACTAGTATTTAACTAGTAAAAAGCTGATGCGTAGTCGATCAATTGACAGTTCGTAGGACATCGCTGAGTTACTTACATGGGCAATAGATGGATGATGAAGTAATTAGTACAAAAATGCAAACCAGCTGGATTCTAACTTACAACTAGTATTTATTTTTCTCTGCAGGCATACAAAAAGCTTTATGAATACTAAAGTACCTAAATGGTCACTGGTCAATTTATTTTGTCCTTGAGCGCAAATTTTACCTTTACAATAAAATATTTTCTTCGATTGGTGTAGGCAAAAAAAAAATTTCTTGACACAGTTTCTCAAACTTTTATTCCTTTTAGTTAAATTAGATAAGAAGAGAGTAAATTGATTTTGCAGTCTCTTCTTCTTCATTCGTTTTGCCGTAAATGGTAATAAATTAAGTTCGTGAAGTTGCAATTTCATAGTAAATTACATTTCATAGCATTTTATGCTTTCACTTGAGTTCAAGCGATTGTTGGTCAGTGGAAAACGCGCACAGGCCAATAGGTACATTATACGTAATACTGCTTTGAGGCTCCTAGCATGGCCTTCTCGAATATTCTAACCGTTTCGTTTGTGTTATAAAAGCAACGAGATAACTAATTTTCACGGAAGCTAGCTCAGCGAGATAGTCAAAGAAGTGTGTCGTGCAGATGCCAAGGCTCAACGGTGACAGTGTTAGTGTTCAATTGACCCACCCTGTTCTTCGTCCCTGCAATTGCGGCCAAAATCATTAGGGCGATAGGCCATTCTTTTACCGTGAAATCCCACTAAACAGTGACGTGTTATGACACTTGTCGTTGAGCTAATAGAGAACCGGTCTGGCAATTTTGGTCATAGCCTCCACCTACACGTCATCCCAATCAGACAATTAGTCTTTTTTGCCGAATATATTGTGCCGTGGTCAAGGGTACACCTACACCATGTGCACGGTTTATTGTGGATGGAAGGGTTCCTCTCTCGCAAGTTCCTCTGCCGTTCAATTTTGCTTGGGATGTACCTGTGTCTGGGTACTTAGACCACGGCTGGAATGAAATCCAAAGCCCACTTTTTCATCGGAGTTCGAGCCGTCTCTAAAGCATGGATATAACTACCGCTGTATAAATCCAGTACACAA